TTTTAAAGGACTGTATTAACCATCTAGATTTTGTATATATTGTGTGAGAGTTTGTTTAGGACAGTGGTCTTCAAAGTTTTTTGCTTATATATCCTCTAAAGGTTTTTTGAAAAATTAGGAATACTCTCACTCATTTTAAGCTGAAATCTGAAATTTACCGAATTTTAAATAGTTTAGACATATTGGATTGCTGCAAAAGTAATTGCGGTCCTGCATTGTTGAACTCTGCCGTTTGATATCGGAATACATTTTTAAATAAATGTGGTTATGTTACACATCATTTTAATGCACATTTCTTGCTTTGTGTTTTTGTGCTAATGACTCAACTACTTGCTGCTTTATTTTAGACTATGGAAATGAGGTTAGAGAAAAAAGCAGATTTGAGCAGTTTTCTTATTTGAGTTCAAAATGAGTCTTAAAGCAGTAGAGACAACTTGCAACATCAACAACACATTTGTCCCAGGAACTACTAATGAACATACAATGCGGTGATGTTTCAAGAGGTTTTGCAGAGGAGATGAGAGCCTTGAAGATGAGTGTAGTGGCCGGCCATTGGAAGTTGACAGTGACCAACTGAGAGCCGTAATCGAAGCTGATCATCTTAAAGTACACAAGAGTTGCCAAAGAACTCAAGTGTCAACCATTCTATGGCCGTTTGGCATTTGACGCAAACTAGAAAGGTGAAAAAAAGTGGGTGCCTCGTGAGCTGACGAAAAAGCCAAAAAAAATTGTCTTTAAAAGTGTCATCTTCTCTTATTCTATAAAACAACAGTGAACCATTTCTTTATCAGATTGTGACCTGCAACGAAAAGGGGATTTTATATGACAACCAGTGATGACCAACTCAGTGGCTGGGCTAAGAAGAAGCTCCAGAGCACTTCCCAAAGCCAAACTTCTAATGAAAAAAGGTCATGGTTGCTGTTTGGTCATCTGCTGCTCATCTGATCGAGTACAGCTTTTGAATCCTGGTGAAACCATAACATCTGACAAGTATGCTCAACAAATCGATGAGATGCACCAAAAACTGCAATGCCTGTAGTCAACAAAATGTGCCCAGTTCTCCATGACGTCACCTGATCTCATGTTGCACAACTAATGCTTCGAAAGTTGATCGAATTAGGCTACAAAGTTTTACCTCATCCACCATATTCACCTTACCTCTCCCCAACGGACTACCACTTCTTCAAGCATCTCGACAACTTATTGTGGAAAAAACACTTCCACAACCAGCAGGAGGCAGAAAATGCTTTCCAAGAGTTTGTCAATTCCTGAAGCATGGATTTTTATGCTACAAGAATAAATGAATTTATTTATTGTTAGCAAAAATGTGTTGATTGTAGTGGTTCCTCTTTTGATTAATAAAGCTTTGTTTTGAGCCTAGCTATAATGATTTAAAACTCATGGTCTGAAACCACAGTTACTTTTCTACCAACCTAATATATTGTACAATAGATTTGCTTTAGAATTATTAATTCATGGTCTGAAACCACAGTTACTTTTCTACCAACCTAATATATTGTACAATAGATTTGCTTTAGAATTATTTGTATGAAACCTTGTAGCTATAGGTTTTATTTAAGACTGGAAAATGTCTTACGTGTAGTGATGGATGTTGACTAGACTCATTGTGATTATCATTTTATTCTTTATACATATGTATAATCATTATTTTATACATTTGAAATGTCATGTAAATTATCTTGCAGTAAAAAAAATGGAAAATGCCTACTGTATAATTCAGTTAGCAAAACTAATTAACCAAATTAGTCAATCAAATAAAACTTTAATTTCTATTAGAAAACTGTGATTTTATTTTTAAGTTCAAATGAGTGAATTAATATGTATCTCTGTGACCATCATGTAATTTATCTTGTTCCCTGTATTTGAAATAGGGTACTATCTCCCCCTTAATATTTCTTATACAAGCTCTTTTTGCTTTGCTCTTTTCTATTTCTCAGAAGTATTGTCTTTTTGAATTATCTATTTGTTTGATGCTCTCTTACTGTTTACATTGCAAAACAAAGCATTATATAGCAAGATCCAGAATGAGTGAGAGTGTGCCTTTCATAGTCAAGGGGAAAAGTAATTGTGAAAGGGGAGTTTTGAAAAGAATTCATTGTACACAGGTATATTTGCAGACAGATTAAATCTGGAAGAAGGCCATATGAAATATCTGAAAATTAATACTCTTAAGTGTATTCATGCTCATGTATGACTGGAAGATTTTTCCTTCCTTGGTCTAGGCCATGACATATATATATAAGTAGAACTTTACATTTATAGACTTCACATGTATGACTAAATGTTCCAAATATCTTTCTAAAATGTACTAGTATAAAGGTTATGTAACAGTTTATGAGAGCTTCAATTTCTCCATAATCTGCCAGTTTGTTGATTTACTAGATATACTAAATTCTTGCAATATTATTGGCAAAAATAGTTTTTGCCAATATTTTTGCCAGTATTGTTATGAAATGATATCTTGTTTTACCTTTCATTTGCCTAGTTAGTGGTAATATTAAATATATTTTTATATATTTATTTGCCATTTCAGTTTCTTCTATTGGATTCCTCTCTATATCTTTTACCCATTTTTTTCTGTTGGGACTGTCTTCTTGAGTTCATCATATGAATTCTGTGGGTTGTAAATATCTTTTAGTTTGTGCCTTGTCCATTAACTTTATGATATTTTTTGTTGTACACAGTTTTTTTGTTTTAATGTTAGTAGGTGTATTAATGTTTTACAGTTTTCGCTTTTAGTGTCTTTTTTTAATACTGTGTTGCTGCTTTTCATATCTGGATCTTTAATTTGGAGTTTATATATTGATTAATCCATCCTCTTGCACTTTTTTGGAATGAATCCTCTGTAAAACGCCAGGTTTCTGCGTGTGGGAGTCTTGCTGTGCTGTCTGTTATGTTCCATTGGTGTATTTGCTTGCCCTGCCCAATTTTGTTTCAATTACTGTTGCTTTATAAGAAGTCTTAAAATCTGATAGGGCAATAATCTCACTTTCTTCTTCAAGAGCCCCTCATGTGTCCTAAAGCCTTTGCTTTTATACACTTCATAATTCAGCTTGTTCAGCTCTGCTCTGTGAAGAGACTTTATTTTTATTAAAATTGTGTTAAATATATAGATTTACGTGGGACATTTAGGCATGATAATAAATTTTCCCCTTCATAAACAGTGTTTAGGGTTTCCATCCATCAATAAAGTTTTTATTTCTCTATAAAAAAATGTTTGGCATATCTTTTGCTTGATTTATTCTTAGGTACTCTGTAGTTTTTGTTGGTTTTATTATGGTGTATTTTTTCAAATCACACTGCCTAATAGATTGTGACTGGTGTGTAATAATGCTTTTGATTGTTAAGTGTTGGTATTTTATCATTAACCCTGCCAAACTCTCATATAGGCAATCATTTAGAATTCAATATACTTTTGTTTCTTTCTCATTTTTCCTCATCAAGTTATTGCACTGGCAGTGTCTCAGCTATAGTATTTATGTTTTAACACCATAATCTTGTTCTTTAAAAAGGTAGAAAGTTCAGTAATTAATCATTAAGGTTTATATGAGTATCTTCCAAAACCTATATAGATATAGATAAGATACTCTAAACTTTAATCAAGGTTTCTCCATCTTAGCACTGTTGACATCTGGGGTCAGATGATGTTTCTTTTTTGTGAAAACTGTCCTGTACATTACAGGATTTTTAGTGGATTCCTAGCCTCCCTACCTTTATGAAAACCAGAATACTACCAAATGTTTCCAAGGTGTGCAGTGTCCCACCTGGTTGAGAATTACTGACTCAAATCAATTAAGGATTAAGTTATTTTTTTACTCTGTTTGCTAAGTTTTTATCCTGAAAGGGTATTGAATTTTAACAGTGTAGTTTCTGTATCTGCTGAGAATATCATTTTTTTCTCCTTTAATGTATTAATATAATTAGTTACATTATCATTTTTGAATGTTAATCTGTAGTACAATTTTATTAGTACACAGTTGTCTGAAAATTATGCAAAACCATGATACTTTTCTTCAATTTGAGTGGATGGGTGAACACTAAAACAATACAGTGCAAATTAGATCCCATGTTACAAATTGAATTTTAATTGCTATTAAAGCCTATTTTACCTGTTTTGTAATACAGCTTGCCTGTTTTATAATGATCTGGCTTTAAATAATCAGTTTTGAGGTTTATTCTATTACTTTGAATAATCAGATGTTATATGTACTTCTATAGAACAAATCACTTGTAAATTTATTAGATGACCAACTTATTTAAATATCAAATTAATAAAATAGAGTTTAACATTCTTCAATAAATAATGCATTTGCTTTAATTAAATGTATAACAAAGGAATAGGATGTTGATTATTTGTAAGTAGTGGGAATTTAGTGGCAAATCAGGTATGATTATTCATTCAGTTCTAAATGCTGTGTAAACATCTACTGCTTGTCTCTGCAATGGAAATAGGCTGTCACCTTAAGTCCAGCTGCTAGTTTTCATCTAATATTCTCTTCAGTTCAGTCACTCAGTCATGTCCAACTCTTTGCAACCCCATGGACTGCAGCATGCCAGGCTTCCCTGTCTATTACAAACTCCTGGAGCTTGCTCAAACTCATGTCCATCGAGTTGGTGATGCCCTCCAACAGCCTCATTCTCTGTCGTCCCTTTCTCCTCCTCCCTTCACTCTTTCCCAGCATCAGGGAAATATTCTCTTAGAAACTGTATTTATTCATAATCTTTGAACTAAAAGCAACTTTTCTGGTGGTGGTTTTAACATTACTGTGGAAATGAAGCCACATGGAAGTAGAAATATTGTGATAATTTTAATGAAGTGGAATTGCAATAATATCAGTAAGAGGTGGAAAAATTATATTTCCAGTCATAAACTGTAAGTTGACTGGGTTTAGGTAGCAGTGTAAGATAAACTTTGTCATAAACAGTTATAAAGAATTTTGCCTAAAATAATTTTTGCTACTTTTCTTTCCTCTTAACAGTCACGTTCTATATCTAGTTCCCCTGTGATGGTAGCTCAGCCCGTTTATCAGCAACCTGCATATCACTACCAGGTAAACATTAAATTACAATGCAAATCTTTGATAGTTTCAGCCTTTTTTGAATAACTTTCATTTTAGTCTTTCTCATGCAAATAAATACTCTCATAATTTAAAAGAGGTAGTTAAGCCTCGATAGTAGTGATATTTTCTTTTTTTTTTAATGAGGGATCTAAATGTCATATAAGAGGATAGATTGTTGACTTATGCTGTTGTCATGTGTGACTGTTTGCCATCCTATGGACTGCAGCATGCCAGGCTCCCCTGTCCTTCACTGTCTCCTGGGGTTTGCTCAGACTCATGTCCATTGAGTCAGTGATGCCATCTAACCATCTCATCCTCTGCTGCCCTCTCCTTCTTTTGCCCTTAATCTTCCCAGCATCAGGGTCTTTTCCAGTTAGTAGGCTCTTTGCATCAGGTGGCCAAAGTATTGGAACTTCAGCTTCAGCATCAGTCCTTCCAATAAAGGACTAATTTTTATCAAATGTAATAGGGTCAGTTTTCCTCCCCTGGCTAACATAGAATAATTTCCGAGGTATTATGAAATACTGGACCACAGGCTGATTTTTTTAAATATTATTGTTATTATATCAGTTTCTAGTTATTATATTTAATAAATACATATCAAAATAAGTAATACACTGTGACTTATATTATGACAACCTCTTTTAGTTAATCAACATTCTTTTCATTAATTCTTATGGGAGGTTGAGGGTCAGTAAACTCTAATGCCAGACCATTTTGGTGTTTCGTAAATGTAATTGGAAAACAGCCATATTTGTTTACATAATTGTTTGTGGCTGTTTTGTGCTGCAGCAGAAGAGTTGAGTGGTTGCAACAGAGATATATGGCCTGCACGCTTGAAATATTTTCCCATTAGCCCTTTATAGAAAATGGTTACCTGCTTCTGGTCTGTAGCCTTCTCAGATAAAATCACAGTCTCTTATACCTTTGAAATAGTGGAAGACTTTGTTTCTGGGTTTTTTTCTTTTTGAACTTTATTAGACCCACATGAAATATTATGGTTACTGAAATTATTTTTAGTATTAGACTAGGTTTGGGGGAGTTGTTCTTAAATTCTGTTACTATGCTAAGTATAAAATTATCTATAAGTATTTTATTCACTTAGTAAAAATGAAAGTAAACTTGATGGCCTTTATTTAAAGTATATATGTAGCATGACTATTTCTTATTCACAATTTTGAGAGGCCCCAAAGACAACATTAGATACTAGGCCATTTAACAAGACAAACCAAAAGTCATGAAACCAGTTTTAGGACCCTTAGCTTATTGCCCACCTTGAGCACATGAGGATGTGCTCATTATTTACCACATCTTGAGGATGAAGTTAATAAAGAAGACTGGTAATGAGGCTTTTTTAACAAGAGAGTTTTAGAGTACTATGGCATTTCCCATTCTCAACCAAGGGAACAGGACTTCAGAGAATGACTTAAGAGAGTTTAATATTTGTCCCCTGGAATTTGTGAGATAGAATCTTTTAGACCTGTGCATGCATGCTTGCTAAGTCACTTCAGTCATGTCCAACTCTTTGCGACCCTATGGACTATAGCCCGCCAGGCTCCTCTATCCATGGGGTTTCTCTGGACAAGAATACTGGAATGGGGTGCCATGCCTTCCTCTAGGTGATGTGGACTATGGAAGCAGAGCCAGAAAAGAAGGCTACAGGGGGAACATGTTGAACGTCTGACAGCAAGCAAAGTTTGTTTCCCAAGAGCAAGATAAGAACCTCACAGAAAGGAATCTTTCCAAAAATGTATGAAGTGACCCCAGGAGAGAAAAAAATCTATGTGAAGTAGACCCCTAGAATCTAGGTCTAAAATTGTAGTCAGAAGTTCTCAGCAAGGACATCACCAAAGAAAAAAGTACCTGACAAAAGAGTCAGCATTTGGAATCTGTTAACATGCCAAAAAATAATTTTTCCTGATTTTTATCTGGAGGCTAGGAAAACCAGCTCAACACAGTGTTTTTTATTTGTCTGTTTACCCTTTGAAAAATTTGTTTTTTATTGAAGTATAGTTGATGTACAATATTAGCTTCAGGTGTACAACATAGTAATTCAAAATTTTTAAAGATTTTACTCCATTTATAGTTATTATAAAATATTATAATAACTTCCCTGGCAGCTCAGTGGTGGAGCGTTCACCTGCCAGTGAAGAGACACAGGTTCAGTCCCTCATGCGGGAAGTCCCCCGTGCCATGGAGCAGCTAAGCCTGTGCACTAGAGCTGCTGAGTCTGTGCTCTAGGGCCGGGGAGCCGCAACTGCTGAGCCCATACACCCAGAGCCTTTGCTCAGAACAGGAGGGGCCCCTCAGTGAGAAGCCCACGCACCCCAACTAGAGACTAGCCCCCCTCACCTCAACCAGGGAAAGTCCGAGCATAGCAACAAAGACCCAGCACAGCCAAAAATAAATAAAATTATTTTTTAAATGTCTATATTCCATGTGTGGGCTTCTCAGGTGGCACTGGTGGTAAGGAACCTGACTGCCATTTCAAGAGAGCTAAGAGATGTGGGTTTGATCCTTGGGTCGAGAAGATCCCTTGGAGGAGGAAATGGCAACCCACTCCAGTATTCTTGCCTGGAGAACCCCATGAACAGAGAGGAGCTTGGCAGGCTACAGTCCATAGGGTCATAGAGTTGGACACAACTAAAGCAACTTTGCCTGTATGCAGACCCTGTATATCCTTGTGTTGTATTAGTCGCTCAGTCGTGTCTGATCCCACGGACTGTGGCCCTCCAGGCTTCTCTGTCCGTGGGATTTTCCAGGCAAGAATACTAGAGTGGGTTGTCATTATATCCTTACAGCTTATTTATTTTAATATCTTGTACCTTTTAACACCCCCCCTTCTTTTTCCCTCCCCCTTCCCTCTCACCACTGGTAAACACTAGTTTTAACAAAATGTTTTTAAAGTGCCAGGGGTGAGAAAGATTGAAGTTACTTTCTGCTTGCACTCTGTGGAGTCCAGCTCCTACTCCATTAATTGATTACATATGTACATACATGACATAGATATATTCTGTAAAGTTTCTAATACAGTTTAATTTTATACTTTGGCTCTAATTTTTCACTTGACACAGATTACAAAACTGGAAGTATATTATCTAGATAAACTTGGGAAAGATTTTTGTACCAGTTTGTAACATATTTTTCAGTGTAAGAAATAATTTCACTTTGCATATTTCTTTCCAGTTATATATTTATTCATCATCATTCTCCCCTTAAAACTGCCACTTTGATAATCTCTTCCCTTGTTCTTTTTACAAATTCTGAGATTGATAGCTTTATCAGTTTTTGTTAGTCAAATCAGATAAGGACTGGTTCAGTCAGTATTTATCTCTTTCGTATTTCTCACTTCAGAAGAAGATAGTAATTTTTATTTATGTAACAAATCTATACATTAATCATGTTATTTCAGATTTTTATTAAAATATTTTCTTAAGAGATTATCCTGCCTTTTTAAACATGGTATAAAGAACACAGACCTCACTTGGTTATCATATTGATGTCATCCATTAGCAGTTGATATGGTCTGCCTGAAATTAACCATTTCTATGGTAGATTCATGTAATCTTCTTATTTCCTGTCTTTTTCACTTTAATAATTAAAGATTTTATTAAAGGTGGAAAATAAGCTAAAACATTTATTATTAAAGAATAATACAACTGATTTAAAAAATAAAAAGACGGTTGTCTTTTCTATTGTCATCTTACAATAAGTACCTTAAATAACTTGATTCTTTTTTTTAAATAAAGCTTTATTTAGCTATTCATATACCATATACAATTCACCTTTTCCAAGAATACAACAGAATGCGTGCATTCTTTCTTAAGCAACTTACTTCCGCCATGTCTGACTCTTTGCGACCCTATGGACTTTAGATAGCCCACCAGGTTCCTCTGTCCATGGGATTCTTCAGGCAAGAATCCTAGAGTGAGTTGCCATGCCCTTCTCCAGGGGGGTCTTCCTGACTCAGAGATCAAACCCACATCTCGTGTCTCCTGCATCGGCAGGCGGGTTCTTTACCTCTAGCGCCACCTGGGAAGCCTGTACAACAGAGTAGTTTTTACTAAATTTACAGTTTTGCTACCATACCCCAGGGGGGTGAGAGGGGAGCTTTACCCATAGGTAGTCATTCCTCTAATCCCCTCCTCCCTGTCCTAAGCAACCAGTAATAGATCAGTACTTTCTGTCTTTATAGATCTGCCTTTCATGGACAGTATGTGGCTGTGAAACCACGCTTTGTTCATCTGCTCATTTGTCGATGGACTTTGGGTTGTTTCCACCTTTCCTCTCTTACAGACAATGCTGATATGAACATTTGTGTACAGATTTTTTGTGGACTTATATTTTTGTTTCTCTTAGGTCTTGTATCTAAGAGTGGAATTGCTAAATCAATGGTATCTCTATATTTAACCTTTTAAGGATGTGTCAGACCCAAAAGGTTGCACCATTTTACAGTCCCAGCAGCAATTTATGAGGGTTTCTCCACATCTTTGCACACACTTATTACCTACTTTTTTTTACTATAGCCGTACTAGTGTATGTGAAGTGATATCACAGTGTAGTTTTGATTTGCATTGTTGTTGCTGTTCAGTCACTAAGGAATGTCCAACTCTGCTTCCCCATGAACTGCAGCATGCCATGCTTCCCTGTCCTTCACCATCTCCCAGAGTGTGCTCAGAAACATGTGTCCATTGAGTCAGTGATGCCATCTATCTCATCCTCTGCCACTCTCCTCCTTTTGCCTTCAGTCTTTCCCAGCATCAGGGTCTTTTCTAGTGAGTCAGCTCTTTGCATCAGGTGGCCTAAGTATTGCAGCTTCAGTTTCAGCATCAGTCCTTCCAATGAATATTCTGGGTTGATTTCCTTTAGAATTGGCTGGTTTGATCTCCTTGCAGTGCAGGGGACTCTTAAGAGTCTCCCCCAGCACCACAATCAAAAGCATCAATTCTTTGGCACTCAGCCTTCTTTATGTCCCAATTCTCACATCCATACACAACTACTGGGAAAACCATAGCTTTGACTATACAGAACTTTATCCGCAAAGTGATGTCTTTACTTTTTCATATGCTGTCTAGGTTTGTCATAGCTTTTCTTCCAAGGTGCAAGAGTCTTAATGTCATGGCTACAGTCACCATTCACAGTGATTTTGAAGCCCGAGAAAGTAAAGTCTATTATTACTTCCACTTTTTCCCTCTTCTATTAGCCATGAAGTAATGGGACTGGATGTCATGATCTTAGTTCTTTGATTGTTGAGTTTTAAGCCAGCTTTTCCCCTCTCCTCTCATCCTCTATCGTGAGGCTCTTTCGTTCCTCTTCACTTTCTGCCATTAGAGTGGTATCATCTGTATATATGAGGTTATTGATATTTCTCCTGGCAGTCTTAATTTCAGCCTGTAATTCATACAGCCTGGCATTTCACATGGTGTACTTTGCATATAAGTTTAAATGATCGGTGTGACAATATACAGCCTTGTTGCACTCCTTTCCCAATTTTGAACTAGTCCGTTGTTCCATGTCCAGTTCTAACTGTTGCTTCTTGACCCACATAGAAGTTTCTCAAGAGACAGGTAAGGTGGTCTGGTATTCCCATCTCTTTAAGAATTTTCCAGTTTGTTGTGATCCACACAGTCAAAGCCTTTAGCATAGTGAATGAAGCATAAGAAGATGTTTTTCTGAAATTCACTTCCTTTCTCCATGATCCAGCAAATGTTGAGAATTTGATATCTGGTTCCTCCTCCATTTCTAAACCCAGCTTGTACATTTGGAAATTCTCAGTTCACATAGTGCTGAAGCCTAGCTTGAAGGATTTTTCACACTAGCATGTGAAATGAGCGCAGTTGTATGGTAGTTTGAACATTCTTTGGCACTGTGCTTCTTTGGGAGGGGAATAAAAACTGAGATTTTCCAACCCTGTGGCTGCTGCTAAGTTTTCCAAATTTGCTGACACATTGAGCGCGGTACTTTAACAACATCATTTTAGGGTTTTAAATAGCTCGGCTAGAGTTCCATTACCTCTGCTAGCTTTGTTTGTAGTAATGCTTCATAAGGCCCACTTGACTTCACACTCTAGAATATCTGGCTCTAGGTGAGTGACCACACCATCGTGGTTATCCTGGTCGTGAAGACCTTTTTTTGTATAGTTCTGTGTATTCTTGCCACCTCTTAATCTCTTCTGCTTCTGTTAGGTCCTTAACATTTCTGTCCTTTGTTGTCCCTATCTTTGCATGAAATGTTGCCTTGATAAATCTCCAGTTTTCTTGAAGAAATCTCTAATCTTTCCCATTCTGTTGTTTCCCTCTACTTCTTTGCGTTGTTCATGGAAGAAGTCCTCCTTATCTCTCCTTGTTATTCTCTGGAACTCTGCATTCAGTTTGGTTTATCTTTCCCTTTCTTCCTTGCTTTTTGCTTCTCTTCGTTCCTCAGCTATTTGAAAAGCCTCATCAGACCACCACTTTGCCTTCTTGCATTTCTTTTTCTTTGGTATGGTTTTGGTCACCACCTCCTATACAGTGTTGGAAACCGCTGACCATAGTTCTTCAGGCACTCTGTCTGCCATATCTAATCCCTTTAATCTGTTCATCACCTCCACTATATAATCATAAAAGATTTGATTTAGGTCATACCTGAATGGCCTAGTGGTTTTCCCTACTTTTTTCAATTTAAGCCTGAATTTTGCAGTAAGGAGCTGATGATCTGAGCCATAGTCTGTTCCTGGTCTTGTTTTTTTGCTGACTGTATAGAGCTTCTCCATCTTTGGCTGCAAAGAGTATAATCAGTCTGATTTCAGTGATCATCTGGCACTGTCCATATGTAAAGTCGTCTCTTGTGTTGTTGGAAAGGGGTGTTTGTTACACCCAGTGTGTTCTCTTGATAAAACTGTTAGTCTTTGCCCTGCTTCATTTTGTACTCCAAGGCCTAACTTGCCTATTATTCCTGGTTATCTCTTGACTTCCTACTTTTGCATTCCAATCCCCTATGATGAAAAGACAGCTTTTTTTTTTTTTTTTTTTTTTTTTTTGCTGTTCTAGAAGGCCTTGGAGGTCTTCATCAGACCAGTTAACTTCAATTTTCTCAGCATCGATGGTTCAGGCACTGTGGTGTTCAATGGTTTGCCTTGGAAACAGACTGAGATTATTATGTCATTTTTGAGATTGTACCCAAGTAGTGCATTTCAGACTCTTTGTTGGCTATGAGGGCTATTCCATTTCTTCTAAGGAATTCTTGCCCACAGCAGTAGATAACAATGGTCATCTGAATCAAATTCGCCCATTCTCATCCATGTTAGTTCACTGATTCCTAAAATGTCGATGTTCACTTTTGCCATCTCCTGCTTGACCATGTCCAGTTTACCTTGATTTATGGATCTAACATTCAAGAGGTTTCTATGCGATATTGTTCTTATGGCATCAGACTTTCTTTTCACCACCAGACACATCCACAACTGGCGTCATTTCTGCTTTGGCCCAGCCTCTTCCTGCTTCTGCAGCTGTCTCCCTGCTCTTCCCCGGCAGCACGTTGGACGCCTGCAGACATGGGGGACTCGTTTTCCAATGGTGTATCTTTCTGCCTTTTCATACTGTTCATGGGGTTCTCACAGCAAGAATACTGGAGTGGCTTGTCATTCCCTCCTCCAGTGGATCCCGTTTTATCAGAACTCTTTACTGTGACCCATCCGTCTTGGGTGGCCCTGCCCTGCATGGCTCATGGTTTCACTGAGTTACTCAAGCCCCTTCACTACAAGGCTGTGATCTATGAAGAGGCTTACAAGGCAAATGATGCTGAATATCTTTTAGATGCTTATTGATGGTTTTTGTGTATTTTCTTTGCAATAATGTCTGTTCATATCCTTAACCAATTTTTATATTGGGTTAAGTGATTCTTAAGTGAAAGTCACTCAGTCGTATCGGACTCTGCAACCCCCTTGGAATTCTCCAGGCCAGAATACTGGAGTGGGTAGCCTTTTCCTTCTCCAGGGGATCTTCCCAACCGAAGGATTGAACCCAGATCTCCTGCATTGCAGGCAGATTCTTTACCAGCTGAGCCACAAGGAAAGCCCTTATATTGGGTTACTTGCCTTTTATTATTGAGCTATATGGTTTCTTTGCTTAGATACAAGTTCCTTATCAGATAATAACTTGTAAATATTTTTTCCAGTCTTGTGGTTTATTTTCACCTCCTTGATGGTGTCTTTTGCAGCACAAAAGTTTTTCATGTTAGTGAAATCCAGTTTATCTTTCTTTCTCTTATTATTTTGTTTCCTGTGCTTTTGATGTCATATTTTTTTTTAATCGCCTGGGTCAAATTCACAAAGATTTACATCTATGTTTTCTTCTAAGAGTTTTGTAGTTTTAGCTCTTACATTTCTATCTTTTATCTATGTTGGGTTAATTTTTGTATATGGTTTGAGGTATAGGGGTTCAACTTCATAGCTTTTGCAGGTAGATATTCAGTTTAACCCTTGTTTACAATCTGGTGGGTTTTTTTTGTTGTTTTTTTGTTTTTTTCGTTTTAGGCCCCTGCACAGTGTCTACCAGGTCAATGGCAGTGGAATGTTCCTCAGGTAAATACTAACTTTTAACTTTTTTCACTGTTTTTGTGAAGACTGCACGAATATTTAAGTCAGAAAGACTAGATTTGAGACCTTCCTCTAGTATTTATTAACAATGATACTGATTTATTAACTGATTTGGCAGTTCATTTAATCACTATATTTCTCAGCTTTTTCATTTCAAATGGAACTAATGATACCATACCTTGGAAAGTTTTCTCACATGACTTTTGTAAAGATCAATTGAGACCATGTAAGTAAAAGTATTTCATAAACAAGTGCTATGTTATTAATATTAGAATATTTAGCATTTTTCTAGCTTCACTTCAGGTTTTGCTTCAGCTTTATTTATGTTTCTAAATGAAGATTCCATCTCTCAACTTCTGATAACAAATGGTACAGCACCAGAAAGTTCGTTAGACAAGCCCCACTCATGGGACGTCAGAAAGCTGAGGTGAGGCATTTGTTGTTCAGTCTCTTAGTCAGTCCTGGGCTTGAAACTCTGTGGACTGCAGCGTGCCAGGCTCCCTGTCCTTCACCAGCTCCCGGAGCCTGCTCAAACTCACGCCCATTGAGTCAGCGATGCCATCCGACCATCTCATCCTCTGTCATTCCGTTTTCCTCCTGCCTTCATTCTTTCCCAGCATCAAGGTCTTTTCCAGTGAGTTGGCTCTTCCCATCAGATGGCCAAAGGATTAGAGCTTCAGCTTCAGCATCAGTCCCTCCAGTGAATATTCAGGATTGATTTCCTGTATGATTGACTGGTTTGATCTCCTTGCAGTCCGAGGGACTCTCAAGAGTCTTCTCCAGTCCACAGTTCAAAAGCATCAATTCTTCGGTGCTCAGCCTTCTTTATGGTCCAACTTTCATTCATACATAACTACTAGAAAAACCATAGCTTTGACTAGATGGACCTCTGTTGGCAAAGTAAATTCTCTGTTTTTTAATATGTTGTCTAGGTTGGTCATAGCTTTTCCTCCAAGGAGCAAGCACCTTTTAATTTCATGGCTGCAGTCACTATTCACAGTGATTTTGTAGCCCAAGAAAATACAGTCTGATACTGTTTGCATTGTTTCCCCATCTATTTGCCATGAAGTAATGGCGCCAGATGCCATGATCTTTGTTTTTTGAATGTTGAGTTTTAAGCCAATTTTTTCACCCTCCTCTTTTACCTTCATTCAAGAGGCTCTTTCATTCCTCTTCGCTTTCTGCCATAGGGGTGGTATCATCTGCATATCTGAGACTGTTGGCAGTCTTGATTCCAGCTTGTGCTCCGTCCAGCCCAGCATTTTGCATGATTTTCTCTCTATATGTTAGATAAGCAGGGTGACAATATACAGCCTTGATATACTCCTTTCCCAATTTTGAACCAATTTGTTGTTCTATATCATTATAACTGTTGCTTCTTGACCTGTATACAGGTTTCTCAGGAGGCAGGTAAGGTGCTCTGGTATTCCCATCTCTTTAAGATTTTTCCACAGAGTTGTGATCCACATAGTCAAAGGCTTTAGCATAGTCAATGAAGCAGAAGTAGATGTTCTTCTGGAATTCTCTTGCTTTTTCTATGATCCAACAGATGTTGGCAATTTGACCTCTGGTTCCTCTGCCTTTTCTAAATCCATCTTAAACATCTGGAAGTTCTCCATTCACGTAGTGTTGAAGCCTGTGGGAGAATTTTGAGTATTACTTTGCTAGCATGTGAAGTTAATGCCAATTTAAATACCATAGATTATATTATCAGAACCTTTAATAGTTATCTTAATGACTGTCTTAAATTATTTATGAGCTTCTAAAGTGCTGAGAACTTTTTAGTACTTATAAGTGATAAATAAGTGATTTTATAATATATACATAATTGGAGTTTATAGCAACGTAGAGTTCCTAGTTTGTTGTTAAGATACTTCTGTGTTGTCCCTAAACACAACTTTAGGAAAATGTGAAACCAGTATTTCTCTCTTGTGTTGGGTAAGTCATTTGGTTTAACTGAAATAACTAACCCGATTTTAATTAGAAACGTGATTTTATATTTTAGTCTCCTGCCTCTTCTGCTCCATTCTTGTACCTGCAACCTTCTGAGGTCATTTATCAACCAGTGGAAATTGCACAGGAAGGTGGATGTCTTCCTCCTCCTCCTCTGTCTCTGATGGAAGCTTCAGTTCCAGAGGTATGTGTTAGTCTCACACAAAGTGATATATCCATAACCACTTCATTTTAACATTTATTTCTTTTCCTTTTCTAAAAGTATTTGTTCGAGACCCTCCTTGAAGTTGAACATCTTATGTTTTCTTTGATCTATTCGCATCTCTTCCCCTTTTTTATATCTAAGAATACTTCATCTTAGACTTCTTCACTATTTCTGAATCATTCCTCAACTCAGCTGTTTACTAGACTATCCTTGACTCAGTCCCCTTGAAAGAGTAAGATAAGTGCTTCTCTTTCTTCTGGTTTGCCTGTCTTATTACTAACACTGTCAGTTAAAAGCATATAAAAATTAAAGAAGAAAAAAATCTTTAAAATTCTTCCTTCAAAGATGTAAATCAAATTTATAACTAAAAACTGTAAATATTATCTTCCATGTGTTTATATTTGCAAACCATTAGTAATAACCTCATCATCTGTGTACCAGGAACTGTACATGGTATGTTTTAAATATGTTTTGAAAGACTGGGAAATAAATAACAACCTCCCAATTTGAGTGTATTTATTTTTATTATTCTGGAGAAGGAAATGGCAACCGACTCCAGTACTCTTGCCTAGAAAATTCCATGGATGGAGGAGCCTGGTGGGCTGCAGTCCATGGAGTTGCAAAGAGTCGGACATGACTGAGCGACTTCACTTTCACATTATTATTATTATTACTAAAGTTTATAACATAATTTTTCTGAAACAGCAGCTTCCACAGTTTTGAGTCTTAAGTATTTACTATCAATACTTTTACTATGATTTCTCCATTCTTCATCTCACCCTCCATTTATCACTCTGTTGACTGAATCTGCAAGCACTCTGTTAAAGAAGGCTCACGTGTGCTATACTCTCTTGAGTTATTACATGCTTGTGTGTTCAACATATTTGTTGTCTATAAATCTGGAAGGAATTAAGACTAACTATAAAATAGCTGTATCATACTTGTATAACTTTGCTAAGGCTCCCTGAACAAAGTACAGTGAACTGGATGGCTTAAAAAGAGAAATTTATTGTCTCATAGTTCTGGAGTCTAAAAGTCCAAAATCAAGGTGTTGGCAGAGTTGGTTTCGTCCGAGGACTTTGAGAGAAGGACCTAGTCCAGGCCTTTCTTCTTGGCCTATCGATGACCATACTCTCCTTGTGTCTTCAAATTGTCCTTCCTGTCTCTGTGTCCAAGCTTCCCAGTTTTATAAAGATACCAGTCATTTTGGGTTAGGTTCCACTCTGATGACCATACTTCAGTTTACTCACTTCTGTAAAGACCCTCTCTCCAAATAAGGTCAGTCTCTGACATAGTGGTTAGGACTTCAACACAGAAGTCTTCAGAGAACACAATTCAACCCATAACAATGCTTTTTTCTCTTATAATGTCTAATCTACTCTTTTCTGGTGTTGAGTATAGTTGTAAAGAAGTTTGAAGCCAGTCTGACTTTCCCTCTTATACGTAATTTGCTTTTTCTTCCTTCGTGCCTGAAGTCTGTCTTAACTTGAAATCACTTTACCAGGATATGTCTTGAAATTTGTCAGTCTTTAAAATATTTTTCCTGGGACACAGTTTGCTCCTTTGATTCTCAGACTAGTTTTTAATTTCAGGGCTTCTTTTTTCCTGTTAGAACTTTGAAAAAAATTTTTGTATTCCAGTTCTTTTACTACTTCTTCAGGAATACCATTTATGCATATGTTGAGATCTCTTTTTATCTTTCATATCCATCATCTCTGAGATAATTTCTTTTATCATAGTAATTTTTAATGTTGTATATGCTTTTTTGAGACAGTCATGAATATTTTTCATTGTTTTTAGTCTGCTTTTTCTTATGACTAATGAAGCTTTCATTTCTGTTTTATTTTTATCTTCTTTTTATCCCAAACTGCCACTTTGCTTACATCATTGCCTATAAATGTTGTCTGTTGGCTTAAAATCTCTTTTTGAAGCTCTTTTTTAGTGATCATGTTATTGTAATTTCTTTAAGATCTAAAGAATTTTATTTATTTGAACTTTTCTACTATTTTCTGGGATGATTTCTCGTCTTTTTCTTTTTTCCCCCTTTTTGCTTTTCCCTTGATAGAATTGGAGACGATGAGAAGTGCCCTAAGGTTGCTTGCTTTTCCTTCCCATCTTATCTTTAAACGAGACCAGCTTTTTGCTGAAATACAAGGTGGGAGAAGCATTCTGTTGACTCAAACATCCTACCACCAAGTCTGTTACATTACCTGCTTGAGATGTTCTTCCCTGAGTTTTTAAGCATTCTGGAGTTCATTTGGCTCCTGGCAAAGTCTCTTTTTTCAGAGATTTTGTGTATGAAGGTGTAGTAAGTGTTACTTCACTTTCCACTCTCACCCTTCTTCATCTCCAGCAGTGTTCCTCAGCTATAATATCAGGTAGTAGACCACAAAATAGTGAAAATATGATTTCTCCCTCTTTGTGGGAGATCTTTCCTGCTTCTGCCTTGGTCTGACACACCCCTTCACTTAAGGCTCTAAAGAGTCTTTAAATAGGCCTTTCAGGGAAATCTATAACCTTCCTCAGGCTTCAGAATCTTCCCTTATATTGGTGCAAATTGCGTAGCATTTGGCAGGCTTTCTACACTACGAACAAAGCTAGTGGAGGTGGTGGAATTCCAGTTGAGCTCTTTCAAATCCTAAAAGATGATGCTGTGAAAGTGCTGCACTCAATATATCAGCAAATTTGGAAAACTCAGCACTGGCCACAGGACTGGAAAAGGTCCATTTTCTCTCCAATCCCAAAGAAGGGCAATGCCAAAGAATGCTCAAACTACCACACAGTTGCACTCATCTCACACGCTAGTAAAGTAATGCTCAAAATTCTCCAAGCCAGGCTTCAGCAATANTGGTGTTGGAGAAGACTCTTGAGAGTCCCTTGGACTGCAAGGAGATCCAACCAGTCCATCCTAAAGGAGATCAGTCCTGGGTGTTCATTGTAAGGACTGATGTTGAAGCTGAAACTCCAATCCTTTGGCCATCTCATGCGAAGAGTTGACTCATTTGAAAAGACCTTGATGCTGGGAAAGATTGAGGGCAGGAGGAGAAGGGGACGACAGAGGATGAGATGGTTTGATGGCATCACCAACTCAATGGACATGGGTTTGGGTAGACTCTGGCAGTTGGTGATAGATTGGGAGGCCTGGGCTTGCTGCGGTTCACGGGGCCACAAAGAGTCAGACACAGCTGAGCAACTGAACTGAACTGAACTAAACTACCTTATCATTTGGGATCCATGAGCACTTCCGTGTTTACTTGATGATGGCATTTTTTAAATCTATCTTTTGTTCTTTTTGTTGTTTTCTGATTTTCAAGGAGGATGACAGTGAGTTAAGAATGATTTACATTATGTTTTTAGCCATTATCGGTACTGAACCATAGTCTTGATGTCGACATCAGATAACTTACCAAGTTACGTTTCACTGTTTAGTGGAATCTAATAAGATTTTTCTGGAAATATTACATGTTAACTTACAACTTGTGCCATGCCATTAATTTTTATGATATTTCAATACACAATGATTTAAGCATATTTTTAATTTAATATTGTTTCTGGCAAAAGATATATGCTTAATATATAAATTAATTGAATGGATTGGTTTATATTTTAAGTGTTTTTTCCTCTAAAGTTAAAAAACACAGGGCTTGTTCTTATGAGTTTGATAGTTAGGTCTCCTAAAATATAAAAATAAATTAAAATTATTTCTCACTTATTTCAATGACTATTTCCCCCTTCACTCTTAGAATATAGTGCCTTCTACTTCACAGAATAAGTAGAAACCACTTTGTGGAAACCAACTCAGCTTCTAGTCCCCAACATACAAACTTACCTGACTTGTAACTCATACTTAGCTTCTTACATTTTTTTAGTAACCTATCTTGTTCAAAGTTATTTCTACTCTTTGCTCTTGCAACTGTGACTTCCCTACTCCTCAGGGACCTCATTCCACCTCATTCTTTCTTTTCTTATGTATTTTAAGACATTTTCTCTCCATTGGTTCAAAGCTTTACCTAGTATTTACTAGTATGTTACTTTGAGTAATTACTTTTCACAGTGTTGGTTTCATAATATCTACATTAATATAATAAAGACATTAGGAAAATCTATTTTTCAGGATTGATGCAAAGATGAGAATTGTTGTATACAAGGTTCTTGCCATAGTGCCCAACACCTGGTAGGAGACAGTTACTGTCCTGTGACGCACCCCCACCAATGCCCTTATTCTCTTCTACCTTTCAAAGCCAAGCTTGAAAAAAGTGCATGTTCAGTTGTGTCCAACTCCTTGCAACCCTGTGGACTGTAGCCTGCCAGCCTCCTCTCTCCATGGGATTTTCTAGGCAAGAATACTGGAGAGGGTTGCCATTTCCTCCTCCAAGGGATCATCCTGACCCAGGGGTGAAACCCAGCTCTTCTGTGTCGTCTGTGTTGACAGGCAGACTCTTTACCACTGAGCCACCTGGGGAGCCCTTAAAAAAAGCAGTCTACATTTAATATTTCCACTGCCTGACTCGCTGTCCTCCCCTCACCTGCTAGAGTCCGCTTCATTGCCTTCTGCGGAAGCTACCTTTGATAAAGGTCCTTAGTCACTCCCTAATTGCCAGATATTTTCCTTTTCTTTTCAGTCTTACTTGATCTCTCAGAGACATTGGATATACTCCTTGAAATTCTTCCTACCTTTGGCTTCCATGATACTGCTCTCTTCTGGCAATCCTTTTACCTCCTCTTATCTTCCTACGTAAGCTGATGTTTTTCTCCCCATGATTTCTTTTTTGATTCTTCAGTCTTTCACCCTACATACTCACTCTGATGTTATCATCCATACTCATGTCTCTAGCCCTAGCCTCACTTCTGAATTTTACACCTGCACTGTTCAGTACAACAGTAGCCATTACCACCTGCAGCTATTGAAATGTGGCTAGTCAGAATCGAGGTGTCTTGTGAGTGCAAAATACACACCAGGTTTTAATGACATAGTGTGAAAAATGAATGTAAAATTTAACACTGAAAAAAAAATTTATCACTGACTTTATGTTGAGTACACTCTGATATATTCTTAATATGTTTAAATAAAATCTATTACTGGAAATTAATTTTACTTGTTTCTTTTTACTTTTCTAACATGGATACTGGAAATTTTTCAGTTTTATTGAGGTATAATTGACATACAGCAGTGTGTAAGCTTAAGATATACAGCATAATGATTTGATTCATACATACCACTAAATGATTATCACAACAAGCTTGGTGAACACCCATCATCACATACAAAATTAAAGAAATAGGAAAAATTTGTATGTGATGAGAACTCTTAGGATTTACTCTCTTGACAACTTTCCTATATAACATCCAGCAGCGTTAATTATATTTATCATGTTGTACATTACACCCCTAGTACTTACTTAGCTATAACTGGAAGTTTGTACCTTCTATCTGAATTATAATTAACATTTAGTTCACATTTTTCTTAGTGCTTCTTTAGAGCCATCCAGCTTTTGATTGACTATATACCTGTAATGGAACTCCTACGAACACCTCAAATTTTATGTGTTACAAACTTAACTTCTCTCTAACCTCCACACAATTACACAAACATCAAACTTGCTTTTCTTTTATTCCATATATCAGTGAATGGTGCCACCATCTGTTGGACAAGCCATTAATCTGCTTTTACATGATCTCTTTCCTGTTACTCTCCCGCCTCACCTTTCAGCTGTCAGTCACTATGTGTTTGTCCTTCCAGCAATACCAAACAGCATACACAGATATAGTTGCCTCTACCTTTGCATACACTACTCCTACCTCATTCCCTAGTTTCTCAAATTCTAGCATAAACCCCACTAGAAAACGTCCCCTGACCACCTCCCCAACTTTGTAAAGCTACATTGTTTTCTTTTCCCGGTGCATCCCTATTCATGTGTCATAGGACTTTCTTTTCCCCCATACATCTCTGCAAAATGTCATACATTTTGACTAGTCTGTCCCAGATCAGTCTATAATTAAAGATAGAGAATGTGTTTCTCATATGTGTTTCTCCATTGTGTAGAAAATGCCTAGAAAATTGTAATACTGAATAAATATTTTTAATTAATGAAAAGCAATATTTTTTTCTTTTTTTTAATTTTAGCCTTATTCTGATCATGGAGTTCAAGCAACATATCACCAGGTTTATGCTTCAAGTGCCATTGCTATGCCTGCACCAGTGATGCAACCTGAACCAATCAAAGTAAGAAGCTTGTTTTGATTTTTTTTGTTGTTCTTAAGTCATATATCACATTTTCCAAATTCTCTTCTGAAAAGAAACAACTTTGGATATTTATATCTCATTTGTGATCTGAAGTACAGAATTAATGAATTCTTTCATATGAAGGAAATACAGTTCTAAATTGGCTATAATTTCTGTTACTTTGGGGGAGAGAGAAGAATAGAAAGTTAATGCTTAATCAGTACAGAGTTTCTATTTAGGGTGATGAAAAGGGCTTCCCTGATGGCTCAAATGGTAAAGAAGTGGACTGGGAAAACTGGTCAACCACTTGTAAAAGAATGAAACTAGAACACTTTCTAACACCATACACAAAAATAAACTCAAAATGGATTAAAGATCTACATGTAAGACCAGAAACTATAAAACTCCTAGAGGA